TTTAGAAACTCACTTATATAAATGAAATTATGATTAATATTCATAAGTCTATTTACATAATAGTTGAATATAATAATAATATATTTACTAAATGACCAAATTTAATATAAAAATGTGATCATCGACTCATTTAGCTAACTTTAATAATTTAAAAAAAATTATCGTCATCGTGCGTTGTCAAACACTAGTTGTATTATAAAAATTGTGGATTAGGTTATAACGTGCCATAATCTTACGCTACACGTGTCTTTTTTTGTCACCAACCTTTAAAAAGAGGGCGTAAAATGGTTGGAAGGAAAAATAAATTATGTTTAAAAATATAATTTTCGTTTTATTTGCATTAGCGGCCAATATTGCAGTCTGGTGGCAGAGTGAGAGCTTGCATGTGGCGATTCCGACGAGGGTAACCGCTTCCATCGCTTCGTCTCCAAGAATCAAACTCCCTTAGGTATATTCTCTTGGAATTTCGTTTTTACATGTATAATCTTTGATTTATTGGCATCATCTTCGATCCACTGCCATTGACCCTAAATCTAATGTTATCATCACTCCGTTTGGTGGTTTTTCATCTTCATATAGCGTAGTGGTTAGGGTTTATTCAGAATTTCGGATTAAACGAGCGATTTGTGCCCAGATTGAACGAGGAAATGATTGTAATTAAGTTGACGCTAAATTCGCAACAAGTTGTTATTTCGTTTTTTTCATTTTGAAACACCAAATTTGATGTCAAAAATCGAGTTGTATGTTTTTGTTTAACCGCTGGAGTAAATGAAATTTTGATCCTGAAGTACATGCAATATCTTGAATTTTGAAGATAGTGCAATTTATGAGAATCCATATGAAGATAGTGCAATCTATGAGGATCCATAAGTTAGGCAAGCTACTCAATTGTGCCTGCCATCTTATCGTATCCCTATGATCAGAAATTCAATTGACATTTATTGTGGGATGCATATTTTTTTCAAAGTAGGTTTCCGAATTTTCTAAAGTAGGTTTCAAGTATGGGTGATGGATTAGAGTCTGGCCATTCCAATTTTGTTTGTGATCACAATAGGCTCTCAATCAGAGTGTTTTTTCACATGGCATTCCATCACTTTCAGCTTTCCTCTGTCTGTCTTTATAAAGTAAGGTTATGTTATTGAGTGCGAATTTTGATGACCCTTTTTTTCATCAATGAGATACTGTAAAGAAAATCTTACACAAACACTTGATTGGAGGGGCATTTATTGGCTTTTTATGATTGTTAGTATGCTCAAATGAGTCTGTTTGGATATCTAAATTGGATTATCTATTAGTCTACTATGTTCTATTTTTGTTTTATGGTAAATGATTTGATCCCAATTCCCAGTGCCTATCTATTTGTCTGTGCTCATGAAAAACAAATTCGATTCGGTAACAACAACAATCTATAATCCCCAAACTACTTGGGACATGTTAAAAATGAGTATATTAGCATAAAAAAAAGATCCTGATTTGCGTTATATATTGTACATTTCATCTAGAGCCTTTCTGATTTGTTGTTTCTTTTACTTTCAAGCTAGGATGGTTTATGGTTATCTCACCATGGTTATAATATAACCTTTTCCTTTGTCTTCTTTCTATCAGCTTATCAATCAGCTCAAACATGCGTCTATTAAAGTGGCTGAAAGAGAAGTTCTTAATTGGAAACCATTGTTTATTAGATGGTGTCCTTCAATTTCCATGTACTATTTCATTGGCTGATAAAAAGCGTTACCCATATACTTTCAAAAGTGTCACTACTCATCAAGAAATAATTTCCTATTGTTGGTTAATTACCTATTATTCTAAAGTATAATATAGTTAGTAGTAAGTAACGGTGATTGCGTGTGGGATTCACATTAAAATATTGATATGACATCTGAATCTTGAAGATTTGATCTTAGCATGTACTAAAAAATTCCAAATTAACTGCATATTTTTTGCCTTGAATCCGAGTTATGGTCAGATGAGTTTGATTGACTTTGCAGTTGACTGTTCCAATTTGATACCCACACTCTGTTTTTGCACATTACATTAGTGTAATCTACTATCAATATTTGAAGATTGTTTTGCTCATTCATGTGACCAATTAAGTTTGGGAAAGCATCAAGCTTTTGAGCATACTTCCCCAAGGAGCCATTCATACATTTTAGCAGCATGTTTTTTGTGTCGGCCTTTCATTGAAAACTGGACCAGTTCTGGACCAGATACATTTACAATTCACATTTCTACTCCTCTACTGTGTAGTATTTTGTATAATAGTTGTCTTTTTCCTTAAAAAAACCTTGGGTCTTCACCGATTCATGCTAATGTTAACTGGCTGTGTCATTATTATATTGTGTTTGGCCAATGAAAGGAACATATATCTATACCACTCTCTTGAAGGTAGGTCTTTAATTAATATAATCAGTGCCAACAATGTTATCGTCTTCTTGGTGGTTTAGAATATTACAAAAATGCAGCGTCGTTGCTGATATAAGAAGTAATCACATGGGCCCAACCACTTGATTCGAATTTTTATATTAATGATTTTAGCACCCAACTAGAAGTTACTTACCTGGCTACTAAGAGGTGAAAATTACTCAATTGATTTTTTTAATTTTCCAGTTGGGAGCTTGGGTGTGGCAAGTTGTACATTTTAAATTAACAGAGTCTGAGATCTGCACCGATGACTTAAGATGTTGAGGACTTTTTGACTTGGTTATCTAAGGACAAGGGCAATCCAACAATCAGCATATACATACATATATGTATATCTATATCTCTCTCTTTGTGACTTCATATATATATATATATATATATATAAATATATATGTATGTATGTAATACATGTGTGATCTTATATTTTACACTTGCCTATTTGCTCAAGGGGATATACATATGGAGATCAAGGAGGATAAAGATTTGAGGTGGTTCGATGTTGAGTTTGTACCCGAGGATTACATATTCTCGAAGGAAGAGAGACCACGGAATCTTGATATTCCTGTTTGTGATTTGATTCCTGTTATAGATCTTGCAAAAGCAGCAGCTTCAAGTGGACGCACCCAGCCAATCGAAGCAGTCTTGACAGCTTCTCAAGAGTTTGGTCTCTTTCAGGTACTGTTACCCATAAAAGTTCATGCTTTTTGTTCGCTCTGAGGTGGGTTTCTAATTTCCACCATAGTGATTCTGTTATGCATAGCATCTTAAACTTTCTATTTTCTCAATGAATCATGGAGGTTGTCAATCATGGAGTCCCAGAAAAGACGCTGAACAACGCTATGTGTGTTGTCAAAGAATTTTTCGACATGCCATCCAAAGATCGAACTGGGATCGTCCCACATATGAAGAATTGGATTTACACAAACAGCACAGATTTTGCGAAAGATGGCGTGCATTTGTGGAGGGAAAATCTTAAGCATCCTTGTCATCCTTTGGAGAAATCCATTCCGCTATGGCCCCAGAAACCAACCAGATATCAGTAAGTTCCAATATTCCAATTTCATCATATATATGTATATCACTTCTACTGTATTCTCATAAGCGAAAACCGTATACAGGGAGGTAATTGCAGCATATGTAGCAGAAATACAGAAATTGAGTTCGAGGATTTTAGAGATGATCTGCAAAGGACTAGGACTCGATCCAGGGTACTTTAATGATAAGAGTGAAGTTCAATTATTATCAACAAACTTCTACCCACCATGTCCAGACCCGAGTCTGACCTTGGGAATATTAGCACACCAAGATCCTAGCCTTATAACCCTTTTGTATCAAGGCAATTCGACCGGTCTCCAGGTCTTGAAAGATGGTGAATGGATCAACGTTGGAGTCATTCCTAATGCCTTTGTTGTTAACATAGGTAACCAACTCGAGGTATGCATGCTAGTTTCACATCCTAATTAGCTAAATCTTAGATTAATGCATCCAGAGGCTGCCTGTCTTCCACAAATCTTTTATACGTGAAAGCAAGGTTTCAAATAAGACATCTAATTTAATTATCGCACCCAATTAACTCAAACACTTGCTGGAATCCACTTAAAACCATTAATAGGCTATTTCCCCCATGAAGTTTATGGCGGTGGTGAAGATGGAGATGGGGATATGAAGAAACAATCATAAAAATGAAATAAATATATTTCAACAGTTCAAGTGTAGAAATATAAGCTTTTAATCTATATATGGTACCTTGTGCTTCTCATTTTTACATAAAAACAAAACTAATACTTTAATTTCCACGGTGGAAATATAAAGTTTCAAGTTCGGGGGCAAAAATATTCAACTTATTGGTTTTAAGCGGATTCATTGAGCTAAGATAGTGGTAATTTGACACATATTAACACTTGGATTGTGGTGCATTGGTTAACCATGTCGGTGCATGTAAGCTGACTCGGAAACCCATGGTTACCCAATTTTTCTTGAGGAAATTGACCAAAATAGTCAATCTCTCCACTAACTTCACTTTTTAGCCACTTTCTTAATTGAATTCTCATTTTAGCCAGAGTTTACGCAAATGTCTTGAGCATTTGGGTAAACTCGATTTTCAGATTAAAGAAAATGAAAAAAGAATTTTTTGCGTAAAGATTCAGATTTTTGCATAAGGTTCAAATTTTTGCGCAAGAATTCTTACGCATATCCGCAAGGTTTTCTCATCTTTTTTTTTTCCTTCCAAAAATCAGTCTTTACACAAAGACTGGCTGTTTTGGAAAGAGGCTCTGAAAAGTGGCTAAAAAGTTAATTTGGTTTATAGGATTGGTATTTCAGTTGATTTCCCAAAAAATTGACACGATATTAGGTTAGATGGGCGGGCTCCATAAGCGTTAGACGATTGATGCACTTTTTAACTATTGATGGCGTGTGTTTTTGTTTCTATTGGTACTTACAGATTATCAGCAACGGAAAGTTGAAAAGCATTAAACATCGAGTAGTGAATAGTATGCACGAAACTAGAAGAAGCATTGCAACGTTTGTGAACCCATCTCCTGATTGCATTATCGAACCAGCAAAGATTTTGGTGAACGAATTGGAACCAATTCGCTATAAAGCCTGTCAATACAAAGAGTACGTTCATCGTAACAAAGCGTTTGGCGACTACACGGTCGCGTTGCAGAATGCCGTGCATGCGGAAAGTTAAACAGCACTAGTTATGTTTACACCTTTACAGTTGAAAAAGTAAATGTATTTAGGTTGGTTTCTTGTAAGACTTGTGAGAAGATTGAAGATATGCATGAATCATTGTATCTGATTTTGTTCCAGTTGTACCTTCTGTGCAGTGACCATTTGTACCGTAGACATGGTATAATCACGGGTGTCAAATTTGTACCAAAACAATTAAGTTATTGTACCAAACTGTGTATTTTTTAATACAGGCTATTATTATTTTATGCACAGAGTCGGGTTTATACGAGAATAGTAACCAAATAAAAGAATAAAAAAACGATTCACATTGTTTTTTGTGTTCTTTATATATATATATATAGAACAGTTAAATCACATGAGTTGAGCTCAAACCTGCATTAAGAAGATTCACCAAGTCGAGCTCATGCAGAATACCGTCAAGATTGGTCCAAGTCAAATAGAACTTAGTTCGACTATTTAAGCAGATAGTTTACAATGTATGGTTCTTTACGAGTCAAAAACAAAATTAAAACCACCAAACCAAGTCGTTTTTATTAGTCAGGTAATTACGCACGATTCTTCCATTTATGTTCAGTTGAGGAACTACAGTAATATGATATGACATTATCTTTAACATACGTGTCAGATAATACTATCTATTTTAATTTATAACCAACTCTTATCGTCAAACTATAAATAGGTTCTAAATCTATAACAATGTTCATGCACCGATGTACAATTGACGTATGTATTTGCTATCTGACAATAAAAATATATATATCTGCATTTTCAATCTCGGTACGTTTTGTGCAACTGTTCAATGAATATAGAAGTCCTAGTGGCCAAAAAAGCAAAAATATGATAAAAGCTACTTTATAACAAACTCAAAAGCTTCATCCACTTTGTTTTGTAATTAAAAATATATAACAACTTTCCCGTATAAAATGTGTTCTGTTATGCACATCTCAGTATATATATATCTGTCTTTTCAAAGGTGCCTCCAAAACATATTACCTTTTTAAGAAACAACATATTCGATTTGAAGAACAAGTTTTTGTCCTTTTGAAGTTAACTTTTTTTTTCTTTTTCAAATCAGTTGTATCATTCGTTCTTATCCACATTTTCAGATATTCCAAGTCTCTTAAATCGTGACCAGAGGGAGGTTTGAAAGTATGTCTATCGGTTTATTTGCAGTTTCAACAAAAATTGTATTTCGTTTGTTTTATCTTATAAAAGACGTAACCGTTAATCATAAGAGAATTAGGCGTAAGAAACCTCAAAGATGTCATACCATAATCAACTTCTAAACTTGTTTCATCATATCTTAGGGTTCTTAAAAGACCTTTTCTTATCGGTGTGATTCTTAGTAATCGACCACTTGTGTTGTAGTGCCCTGGTTAAGGTTCAGTGGATGCAGTGGAAATCTTATATTCTTTGGGTTCAAGTACCTATGGTCATAGATGTTCATCTGTGAAGACTCCAGCCTATTCATAGTCAATGTGGATTAGACATTGTTTGGTAGTTGCTGAATACTTTGGTGCAGAATGATTAATTGGTCAAAATAATTAAGAGACTCTCGTGTCCATAACATGCAAAATTCAATTATATTCAACCAAACATAACTACTAGTCTACTATTACCAAAAATGGGCCAATTTCATAAGGTTGAATTTATTGGGCCAAATTTTATGTCCATACGGGCCCATTGAGCCAAAATTAAAAATCCGTTTGAGAATTTAATTGGGCCAGATTTTTCTTCCATCAACTCCTCCTTAGTGTGTGTATATAACTATATATTATCTCCAACAGTTATGTTATATTTTATTTAAAATAAAATATTAAAAATCAAAATCTTTAAATAGTTATATTTAACTCCAATAGCTACTTTATTTTAACATAAATTATATTATCAAAATATTTTATACATTTAATAAAATATTATTTCTCTCTCTTAAGCATTTATTATAAATACTTCTTATTTCTATTTATAGAATTTTCTAAATTTAGATATTTTTACAATCTCTCTTATCTTTACTTTATTTTAGCCTGCAAGATAGCATTATTGTTGGAGCAAAAAAATTTGCTAAAATCTCACGTTTTCTCTTTCTAACATAGTTGTTGGAAATGCTATTAAACCTCGAAAAAGGTGGTCAAAGCCTACCGCCTGGAAAACCAGTAAATATCTGTTGCTTTTACTCTGATTATTTCAATGACTGAAAAATTAAAAACGATAATGTGTGGTCATCAATAGTAAAATCAATAGACCACAAATCCCGATTTGGTCCCAATTTTTTTTTTTTTTTTGCTAATAACCCGTTAAGACCAATAAATTCTTTTTTTTTCGTTTTGCTAAAAAAGATCGGTCTTTAGGACCGATCAAGACTGTCAATCGAGATTTGATCCTAAACTTCTTGTCAAATACCGATTAAGACCTAATCTGATTTTTCTGTAATGAAAAGATCGGTTTTGTTAAACCACAAGGCGGTGGGGATGTGGTAGAATATCTTATTTGTCCGGAGTTTGATTCTAAATGTACATAACAATTGTGATCATTGAGTTTATCATGACTGATTTCTTACATTTATAGTTTATCGAGATTAGTTAAGACCTAGTTTAAAAATACGTTCCAAAATAATATGAGTGTTTTTAAGACGCAAATTGGATGTGGGATTTTGGATGGATTTGGTTTAATACCTAAAAAAAACAAAAAGCTGCAGGGAATCAAATAATCTCCAATGAGACGTGTTAAATCTATTGGCGCCAGCCGTCCATCAATAAAATTTTCAAATATTAATATTAATATTAATATTGAGTGAACTTTATAGAATCAGTTCAAATCATATATTTAAAAATATTAGAAGCGTACTTGTGCAATGCAGCGAGATACATCGTGATTTTAATATTTCATTTTTATTCTTTATCTCAGTCGATGTTATAATATGACTTTATGTGATTTTGAGAAAACGATGATGTTTTTATTTTTGAATAAAATATATGTTTTCATAAAAATTTGACAAAAATATATCGATATTAGTATCAAATTAACTATTTGAAATTACTCATTTTTTGTGTAATTTTTTAATTCAATTTTTTTATAATTTATTTATGTACAATAACGAAGTAATTTATATTTGGTTTAATAATATAATTTTTTTATAA